ATTTCAATTGATAATAATCGTTTATATATATATTAAAAAATATTTTACATACAACAAAACTGAATGTTTTCTTTTTTTTATTTTGAATTTGTTTGTTGATTATTCATTGGTGTTTTCATATCTTGATGAGTATGAGGTGAAGTCATTGAATATCCATTTGGATATCTTTTACGAAATCTTTGTACAACATCGGGTTCAATTAAACGAACACCATCTAATTGATTACCAAGTGTAATCCAATTCGGTTGAACATTATGTGGTCGTCCAAATAATTCAACTTTACGTGTTCGAGGGGATAATCGTTCAATCATACCATATATTTCATCTGGTTTACGTGATGTTGCACGTACTTCAGCAACAATAACATCAGAATCAAGACCACGATTGACTCCAACACATGAACCTTTTACGCCAACAAGACAATGTTCTTTACCATGATTCAGCCAATGACCTGTACGACCAGTACGAATAATACGTTGTAATTGATTGGTTTTAACCCAAATAACTTCATCACATCGTTGATAACCCCATATACGAAGACATTCACGACCTTTAAGCGAAAAAAATAATAATCTTTTAAATTAATATTATAGGAATTTTTTTATTTACCAAGTTCCATTGCACGACCAGTTACCTAAAATAATAAAATAAAATTAGATAACTTCTTCTGTTAGAACAACTAATTACCCATAAAAATATATATCCATCATCTTGTAATGATGGTATATCAAGTCTTCTCATTTCTTCATCAGCCATAGTTCCATATGGCAATTCCATATGAATATCCCATGGTGGATCAGCCATGATAACAGAAAATTTTCCTAATACAGCCATATCTAATTGACGCAAATCACATTGAACCCATTGCGGAGGTATTGAACCTGGACTTATTCGTTCAACAATTGGTAAATGACGATTAGTTTTATTATTAATATTCGATGTTGGTACAAAATTTGTTTTATCTATTTGATAATGAATATATTTACATGTTTCCTATGAAAATAGAAATCATAAATTATATAAAAATTTGTATTCTATCTTACCATATGAAAACAAGTATTAAGAAATGAACAATCACCAAGTTGTTCATCTGTATGAGGTTTAATTAAACGTCTAAAATGTACTTTTCCACATGTATTGATATTTTTTCTATGATAATATGATGAACGTTTTGTTGATTCATTTAAATCATTTGAATCATCACGTTTTCGTTTTTTCTTGGTTTGTAAATCATCATCAGTTAATTTTTGTTCAGGATCAGATGATGTTGATGATGAACGAGAACGATGATGTAAATGTGAATTTGCTAATGGACAATCATCACGTGTTGTATATTGACAATATTCTTGTATTGTATCATTTGTACGATAACGACGTGAAAGCATTTTTTCCATAGCTGTTTGTCGATTAAGTAAACGATCCATTTCAACATTAAAATTTTCTCGTTCATATTCACGTACGGTTAAATGTGAAAGTAAATGAACAAGTTGATGTGAAGGACGTTCTCGAGATAAACTACCACGACGTGGTGGTAAACCCATCCATGATGGTAGAGAATATTTTGATGGACTAGATAAAGATTTTGATAGAGTTAAATCTGATGATGGTTCTATATGACGAAGAGGTAAAACTGTTTTACCATCAATATCAAGTTTAATTTTTAAATTTTTTAATAAATTAAGAATTTGTTCATCTTCTTTGGAAAATATATGAGCTAGATTAGTTATTGAGATGGGAGCATGTTCAATGAGATAATCAATAAATAAACGTTCAAATTGTGAATCATCTATTGTATCTGACGGTAATATTTGTTGTTCATTTAAATGAATATCATTAGCACTTGTACGACATGCAACAACAGCTGATGCAAGTAAATTCGATATATTTCGTTGTTTCTCAAGCCATTTTTGTTTAAATGTGGTATGACGTCGTGTAAGATCATCGATTTCATTTTGAAGAGATGACGGTATGAGAGTCATCGTTGACCTTATGAGGTAAACTTGTTATGGGGAAATATTAATCATTGACAAAAAATCATTGTCATGAATAGTTAAGAGAACTTTAGGTCATGATAAAATTACAGGAAAGACATGATATCCAATGAAAATTTATATCAATTTTTTTAAATAAAAAATTTCAATTGAGATGATATTTATTAATAATTTAGTTTGTTAATTCTTCAAATAATACTTATTAAAATATATAAAAAATATTGATTACTAGCGTCCTCTACCGATTAAAATTTATTGTCTGCTAAATTTCTTGGATTTTGTAGCTAGTCTTATATTTTTCCTTTGAAATTAAAGAATGCAAAAGAAATAAATCATTTAATTTTTATCATCACAAGAAAAATATCAGAAGGATTTTATTAATTATCTCTAAATATCAGACATATATTTTGATTATGAAATCAAGGTGAACATGTTCATTAACATTTCTTTGCTGAATAATGTACAATTGGTTTTGATCGTTTATGAAAAAGTAATTTTCGTTTAATTATACATTCAATTTCATAACTTGTACTATTTACTCCATCTGCTTGTCGTTTACGCATTACTAATAAAGGTTTTTCAAGTTCTACCATTTTTCCATCAAGAATATGTTGTCCAATGACACAGACTGGCATATCCTTAAAATGAGCTTTACTATTTATTATATAATATCAAATGAAACTTACATTTTCTGTAAAAAATAAAAAGCCAAGTCGTTCACCTGCTAATGATTGTTTTTCAGCAGCATATTCCTATATTCAACAAGGATAAGTATAGAATATAATGAAGATAAACTTACTAAAGCACCTTGTAATTCAATTAAGAGTAATTCCGTTGAATTTTCTCCTCTTTTAATTAGAACGAATGTTGTAAAAATGATGAATAATAATTATTTGAAACACTTACTGTTCAATTAATATTTGCACCATATCTGAAATTTACGATTTATTTTTTTTCTTATACAAAAAAAAATTTTTCATTCGGGACAAATGATATATTTAAGATTCTGCTTTTTTTTGTGTCAATAACAAAACAATACAGTGAAAAATCTAAAGTCTTTATATTAAACAGCACAAAAGCCAAAGGAAAAAAGTAGTAAATTTACACACACACGCACACAAACACACATGTATACATATGAAAATTAAGGACTAACATCTGAACAATGCCATATTTATATGAGTAAGACAAAAACAAAAAATGAATCTATGTTTTTCGACGTTTACTTGAACGTAATGATGATGATGTATCTGTTGATGATCGTTTTCCATTATCAAGTTTTATTGTAACACGAGATGATTTTGATGAGTTGATTTTATCAAGTTCATTTAATAAAACAGGATCAGGTCTCATACGAATTGTTAATTTTGGTACTATTCGTTGATGAGATATTTGGTTTATATTCTCATGATGATGATTATTATTATTATTAGTAGTAGTAGTAGAAGTATTAGTGTTAGTATTAGTATTAGTATTCTCATTATTATTTTCGTTATCAGTTGCTAATGATGATAATGAAGTATCAGACGAAGTACTTGAATGACGACTAGAGCGAATAGTTGGACGCCAACTAAGAAAATTTGGATTATTTGAATGTATATTCGTTGTTAATGAACTAGATGATGATGAATATTGAGAAATTGTTCGTTGACGACTATCACGATATGTTCGTGATGATGATGAAATAGATGATGATGACGAAGTAGATAAAGCAGGTGATAGAAGACGAGATGAACGTGACTGAATAGTAGTTGTCTAATAGAAATAAAAAATTGGAAAAAATATTGAATCAAATTTGATTTTACCTGTGAATGAGTAGTTTGTTTGCTTTGTATTGTTGATGATAATGAATTTGAATTAGTACCATCAGAGAAAAATGCTGAATCTGAAGAAGTAAACATTGTTGTTGTTGTTGATGTTGTTGTTTGATTTCGAACAACAGTAACAGGTGATTTTGATAGTGATGAATGAGAACTGCTTGGTCTTCGACGTAGAATTATCCGATTTGGTGTTGGTAAACGATAAGCAGATGATGATGATGATTGAAATGTAAAACTAGTTAAAGTATTATTCGTTTTCTTTTTTCGGTTTGACTTAAATAAGAAAAATATAAAATACGAAAATGACATATATATAATAAATTACTGGTTTTTTCTTGTTTGATTTATTTTGATTAGAGATTGTTGTCTAAATAATATAGTAAAACGAATCAAATTTTAGATACATCTGTAATATTATACATCTAAACTTACATTATCTGTCGATTTCATTTCATTGTATGGTGATGCGAATTGACCACTTTTATTTCGATACACTACTGGTGGTTGTTTTATAGGTATTTCAATTTTTGTTTCGTCAATTGATTTTTCTAAAATAGATACAATTCATTTTTCTTTTATTTTCATGTAAAATCCTTACTATTATCTTGTATTGCATTGATAGGATTAACTGACTGAATTTTACGTAAACGTTTATCAGTTTGACGTAGACGTGTAGAAACAATTATATTTCTATCAGTTGTTTGTTTATTCGTTGTAGATGTTGCATTAGAGGTAATATCAATATCTATCGATGGTTTTGATACTGATGAATTTGCTTGTGCAAATGCACCATGACCAAGCCTTAAATAATTATATGAAGTGAATATATATATGTATAAAGTCATCAATCATATTACATTTCACAGCTACGACATTCACAAAGTGAATTATTATCACCAAAAAAATCAGATCCATAACAACATGTAATTTCATCGCCAATTTCAATAGGACGAAGTACATAAATATAAGCTGAACTTAAACCTGTAGCAACGAACTAAAAAATAAATATATTGATATATAGAAGAAAATTGATTGATTGATTTACTTACTTTACAATTTGCACGACAATCATGATTAATATAAGCTAAGAAGAAAAGAAATAAATTAAATAGAATTTTTTATAACAAAAATCTTTCATACCTGCAGGTCCAAGCCAAAGTTGTGAACATTTTTTACGACAAGAATACATAACAGAAAAATCATTGATACCAGGTTTTAAAAATGCATGTTCTTCTTCAGGACTTAATTCAGCTATACAACCAATTAACATTTCAATCTTATCATGTACTGCCCTAAAATAATCAATATATATATATATATGTATCTACTAGTTATATTAAGTTTTTACCATGCTTTTGTAGCTAATACTTTTCCTCCACATTTCTCTGTTGAATACCGACGGCATGGTTGAAGTGTTACACCCGAATTTTTATTAAATAAATGAAGAAAACGAAAGAGCTAAAAGATAAATTATATTTTTTATTTTCATTATTTATTTATTTATTTATTTATTTACATGTTCTTTAAATGCTGTTAATTGTACAGAAGTTTTTCTTGCAAGTAATTGTTCATACCATGTTCCAATTGAAGTCATATCATTAAAACATTTATCATAATCTAAATGTTCTTGAAATTGTTCAACAGCTAATTTCCATTGTGGTAATAAACGACGATTTGGTCGAAAACGTATATTCATCTTATGTGTTGTAAATTCAAATATACTATCAACAACAATCATTGTAGCTAAATCATCATTTTCACTAAATAGAAATTCAAAAAATAAATTGAAAATAAGAAAATAAACTAAGGAAATTTTTACCAAAGATCTGCTACTGCTCGAGGTATTCCGTTATACATGATAATAAGATGTTTTTTATTGATACAAAATAATTATAAGATTGAAATGAATGTCATCGTGCTATTCTTATATAGATAATAATCATTTATATAGAATCATCAGAAAAAGAAGTACGCCATGATAATCTAAAATTAGCATAATTACATACTAAAATTATATGAATAATATTAATAATTGAGTTCATAATGAAGAACTTATTTGAAAATAGTTATAAATTGATATGATCTCTGTAACAATGACGTACAATGATGCCGAAAAGTCATTTTTGTCAACGAATCATGTATGTCTGTATGACCAATACTACTTCATTATGAGTCATCTTGACATAGATGTTTTAACTTCCACTGACATCTACTCTCGATTGATCATATATATGGAAACAATCATATATGAATATGTCTTTTTAATTATTCAATAAATGATAATATAATTCGAAAAATGATATTAATTATTCTTTTAGGTCTCATCGACATATATATATGCGTCCAAATGCAGTTATTTGACAAAGATCTTCCTGATATATATATATATATATATATACTTTAATTATTTTGGAATATCTTTTTGTGATTTATTTGACAATGTCACAAATATAATGCTTGTTTTTTTCTTTTCTGCTTGTTGGTATCACACATCTGCATTTATTTGTTCGAATTGATCATATATTATTCTCTTGAATAGTTTCCAACTTTGAGTAAAGTTCTAGTTAGCCCTATCTTACCTTAAAAATCCAGTAAATTCTTTTAATTTTCTTTGAACAATAATCGTGAAATTTAATAACCGATCTAACACATTTTCATAATGGCAACTTCAAGGAAAAGACATTTGACTATAAGCAAGAAATTATGAATAACTCTCAGTTCGGATTATTGTCCGACGATAAACTACTAACCCTTTCTTAACACAAATGTCATTTCTTCGTATACAAACAAAGATTATATTCAAAAAGTTCGAGTTCGGCAACATAAATCCGAGACTCAAAAGGTCACAGATACTGAATACAAGAAACTTTCCGTAATGATTTGTATAAATATTAATTTATTTCAATTATAAATTTTATAATTGTTCCGTTTCTTCTTTCTTTCATTCGAAAAAAGAGATTTCAAAAACTATTGCTAAATCGTTACGAAATAAATAACATTCCATTTTATTTTATTCAAGTCACGTGTAGAGAAAAGAAAAGTTTACATGAGTGCAGAACATATATATATATACATAACTTCGTTTTATTTTACAATCTATCGATATCATGTCGTACAAAATTGAAACAGATAATAAAATAGATCATCAGTGTCTTGTTAATGTAAAACGTCGTCGTAGTACTTGTTCAACAGTTAAATATATTTCACGAGCTCAACAAAAATCTCTTTGTACAAAGTAAATTAATTTAAAAAAAACATTTATATTGAATATATATATTCTTCTTTTTAGACATGTACAATCTTGTAACCCAACAATGAATAATAATCAAGTTAGTTTCAGAGAAAAAAATGTCTCTTTAATTACTGAATATATTTTAATTTAGTTAATAAAGAATGAAATTTGTCATGAAAATTTACAACATACTAAACGTTCTTATATACGAAAACAATCTTACATAAAACGTGAATCAATATCATCTGAACCAGAGCTTTCAGTAGCTTGTTTAAATATGGAAAACATTCAAGCTAAAGTAATTTTCTCGAATTTCAGTATATTTTGATTGTACCTAGTATTTTATATCAGGATAAATAGAATGAACATCTCCTTTCAGAAGAGAATATTATATAGCGTATTTGATGATAACTATAAGTCTCAAGAGATAAAATATGTGATCTAATCTTAATAATTATGTATAAATCTTAGACTAATTGAATACTTAATTTTTTTAATAGTTAAAAAATGAAATATATTCTCCTGATGTACAATTAACGGACGAAATCAATGATGATACAAAATCCGAAAGTTCAATTGAATATGATTATATATATCCATTATCAATACCAACTACAAATCCTCTTCAATATCGGCATGTTTCAATAGCAACGATTTATCTGCAAGATACACAATGGGTAAACGAAAATCCTTATGAAATAATTCATATTCTTTTTTTTTTTAAATTTAGCATCAGCTTGAGTTATTTATAAAACACTTTTCTTCATATGCTTCACTTTCGAACAATATGAATATTAATTCTTCAACAACACATTTACTTATTGATGATTCTTCAACGCCTCTTCAATGTATTTTTTCTAAAAAAATCTTTCAAGCTGTTGCTCGACATATTTTTATTGTTTCGATACGATGGATTGAAGAATGTTTACTACGTAATGAAATTGTTAATGAAAATCCGTATGAAATTCATGGTGATTCAACTATGTCAACAATGCATTTAGCTCGTCATTCATCTGCAAAATCTTTATTTCCATCATCTGTATCATTTGTAATTGATTGTATATCATTTCAACGAATATTAACACGAAATGAATTAGCTGAATTACTTATTTTAAGTGGTGCAACATTATTTAATCTTGAAGAAAAATTATCAACAAAAATTCTTCTTGTACTTGTTGATCCAAGAGCTAATCGTATTGAATTAGAAAATAAATATAAACAATGGCATAAAAATATTAAATATCTTACACCAGGATTTTTACTTAAATCAATTATCTATCAAAAACAGCAACCATTCGAAGATTTTGAACTTTAGATTTTGTTTTCATTTAAACAGTTTTTCGTTTTTGTTTTGTTTCCTAGAAATATATGCGAGAGCATAGATTAATAAATGTTGAAAATAATTAGGAAATCTTTCATTGATTAGTATGTTAAATGATAATGAAAGGTTCGTTTTTTTTTCATAAAATGATTAGTCCTTTGATTTATCTTTTAATGAATATTGACCTTGCTAAGAGCAAAACTACTGGATATAGGAAGATGAACTGAGATAATGAAAGATGACAACGTAGCTTTAGATGAAAGATACAGATAATAGATTAAATGTTATCAAAAATAAACGTCATATATAAATCTGTATGCACACAAAATTTTCGTTTCCATTATATTAGATTAATGAGAGAAAAAGCCATGAAAATATACTTGATAATTTATGTGATCATTATTTTATTAGTTACTCACACTTTTTTCAAAAATTTACAATTGAGATAATTCTTATTATTCTATTTATAGACATATATAAAGAGATTCTAAAAGATAACATTAAGCTCGTTATTAATTTGATACCATCATACATAACGAACAAGAATACTAAAATGGTGGATATCTATAGAAAATTTTTTGTAATAAAATAGGAATGTGTATGAATATCGCTCTGTAAAATTTCTTTATTTCACACTTAAATATCATTTTTTTTTCTCCTGTCATATAACAACAGACAGAAACTTAAATACTATATATCTGACGTCAATATATCAATATTAACATATAATTTTTCATGCTTGTCTATATTTTACACCTTCTTCTATGTGTCCTTCTAGTTTATACTTGAATAATAATACGTCATTTTATACATTATTTACCTTTTTCTTTTCTTTCTAAATAAAAAATACGTATCTAATTAAACATAACTTTATATCTGACTTTATTTTTCCATAGTAATAGTATCGCAAGAAATATTTGAAAGATATTGCTATTTTTTTTGCTTACTTTTTTTCTCTTAAGTTTTTCGACAAATAATCTTACTAAGAGAATAAAATTATTGACTAGTATATGATTGTGGTTTTTTTTCGATTCGAATTCTCTTTTGTTTTGAAAAAGAAGAAATACTAATCTAAACATGATTATGATCAGTCAATCTTCTCACACACAAAGTTTCCTTGTTAGTTATTTTTTTACTGTTCTCTGTGTGTGTGATGAGTGAAAGAAAGAGAAAATGTATAGAGATTCGAC